GGCTTGCACCTGGCACGGGCACCGTAGCCAGCCCATGCCCCTTTAAGGGCTCCGGGGCCGGGAGAGGGGCAGAAGAGTTTCCCTGGTGGTGCCCAGAGTGGCCACCAGGGAAAGCTGGGGAGGGCTAGCCTCCCACTAGTTTGAATTAAGGGGCTACACAGCCCTTAATTCGAACTAGTTAATTTGAACTTGGCGTTAGTTCGAACTAGCGGTTTGCATATGTAGCACCTATCAAAGTTAATTCGAACTAACGTCTGTTAGTTCGAATTAACTTGAGTTTCCCTGGTGGTGCCCAGAGTGGCCACCAGGGAAAGCTGGGGAGGGCTAGCCTCCCACTAGTTTGAATTAAGGGGCTACACAGCCCTTAATTCGAACTAGTTAATTTGAACTTGGCGTTAGTTCGAACTAGCGGTTTGCATATGTAGCACCTATCAAAGTTAATTCGAACTAACGTCTGTTAGTTCGAATTAACTTTGTAGTGTAGACATACCCTCAGCTATTAATCCCAGCCAGGCCCGTCCCTACAGGCAGGGGGCAGTTCTCCTGGCAGCGCAGCCTGCATGAGGCTTGGGCACCATCTTAGTTCCACTTCCCCCTCCAGATAACAGGGCCCTGCTCACGCACAATGTCATCCAGTCCTGGCCCAGGGAACAAGGCGGAGGAGCGGGGGGGAGGAATCTCGCCCTGCCTGAGCAGGGGCTTCACAATGAAAACAGACTCTGGGAGGCAGTGTGGCCAAGTGAATAGCGTGCTAGCCTGCTCAGTGACCTTGGGAGAGTCAAGTCCCATGCCTCAGTCTCCCCATCTGTAAAACATTGTTACTGTGAACTCCTGGCTAAGGACGGTGTCAAAACAATTTGGCTACGTCTAGACTGGCATGATTTTCCGCAAATGCTTTTAATGGAAAAGTTTTCCGTTAAAAGCATTTGCGGAAAAGAGCATCTAGATTGGCACGGACGCTTTTCCACAAAAGCACTTTTTGCGGAAAAGTGTCCGTGCCGATCTAGACGCGCTTTTGCGCAAAAAAGCCCCAATCACCATTTTTGCCATAACAAATCTGAGCTGTCTATACTTTTCTGACTTTTGCCCGAATGGGAGCAGCATAGTATTTCCGCAAGAAGCACTGATTTCTTACATGAGATCGTCAGTGTTCTTGCGGAAATTCAAGCGGCCAGTGTAGACAGCTGGCAAGTTTTTCTGCAAAAGCAGCACCTGATTTTGCGAAAAAACTTGCCAGTCTAGACACAGCCCTTCTGTACTGCAGGGAATTCTGACATTCTGGGGATAGAAAAAAATCCATTTCAGCTCAGCCGGAAAACTCTAAACTTTCAAAAGCCCACTTTCCTTTTGGGTCAATGGGAACATTTTGTTTGCCGGGGGGGCTAAAATAATTTCTTGGCATGAGTTATGATAGAAATTGTTTAACATCATAACGGAAAAGTCATTTCCAAACCTTTCGATGCTTCATATCGATTCCTCCCCCCCCCCAACAAAAACAAATTCCATTGAATTGGAGTCGGCGCATTTCCCGGTGGCGTTTCCTTGTCAGCAAATCAGCATGGCAGGGGAAAGGCTGGGGGGGCTAAAATAATTTCTTGGCATGAGTTATGATAGAAATTGTTTAACATCATAACGGAAAAGTCATTTCCAAACCTTTCGATGCTTCATATCGATTCCTCCCCCCCCCCAACAAAAACAAATTCCATTGAATTGGAGTCGGCGCATTTCCCGGTGGCGTTTCCTTGTCAGCAAATCAGCATGGCAGGGGAAAGGCTTGGGCCCCGGATCCGACCCGCCTAGGGCTTGGATCTGGCCCGCGAGGCAGTTCCAGGCCCGGCCCCCTAGCGTGTTAACTGCTTCTATTTCAAGGGCTCGCGCCTGCTGGGGGCTGCGTGTCCTGACAGTCGCCCGGCAGGTGCGAGCCCTTTAAACAGAAGCAATCGAAAGGGCTCGCAGCTCTTGTCCCACTAGCCCGTTGGCTTGTGCCTGCTAGGTGGCTGCCAGGCAACAGGCGGGCAGCAGGACCAGCAACTGCCAGCCATGTTCTGTGAATGCTAAGCCTCCACCCCAGACAACCCTGGGAGGAACCCCAGCACCTTCCCCTCTGCTCCAGGCTGAAAGACAAGATGAAGTGGGGGGCGAGGGTTGAGGGGGACAAACGTGATAAGGGACGGTTGAAGACACAGGATATCTTAGTGCAGGCCAGCCTGCTAGGTGGCTGCCAGGCAACAGGCGGGCAGCAGCACCAGCAACTGCCAGCCATGTTCTGTGAATGCTAAGCCTCCACCCCAGACAACCCTGGGAGGAACCCCAGCACCTTCCCCTCTGCTCCAGGTCTTTTCCATCTGCCCCTTCCACGTCAGCCTGCAGCTACTTCTCCACCTCAAAAATGATTGCCCACCCCTGGGTTAACCTGTAGGGGCTGGAGCAGCTCCCTGCCCACCTCGGGTAGGGATTTGCTCCACCCCCAGGCCCACTGCAGCAGCCCCTGTTCGTGGCTGGGGCAGGGGCGGCCTGTCCGTGGCGGGCCCAGCTGCGCCCCCACCCTGCACTGCAGGTTTCATGCTGGCTCCTGGGAAGGAGGCTTTGCTGTGGGCTCTGCAATGTAAACATAGCTAAGCTCTATATGCAGGGCCTGCAGCATGCAGCTGTGTAACAGGTCAGATCTTTAGCAGTTGCACGGTTACCTTTTAACCCGCATGTTTACAAGGATGCTTAGTACGTGCTGTGACAAAGTCGGGCCAGCCTCCTTCCTGTGACCTGAGCAGGGGTTACCGCTGGCCAGTTAGGGGAAGTTGAATCCAGTTAAGGCAAGGGTGGGCAAGAGGCTGCCAGCGGGCTGCATCTGGCCCATCAGGCTACCAGATCCGACCCACAGCCACCGCGCTGGAACCCTTAGGCAGAGAACAGCTCACACTTTAAAAAGCCAGCTGCTCTCCTTTCCGGAGGGCTGGGGAGGGAGGAGGGAGACTTCTTATGCTGTTCCCGCCCCCTAGCAAAAACCTCTTAGCTCCCACTGGCCAATCTCTCAGTTTCCAGCCAATAGGAACTGAGAATTTTTGCTGGGCACAGACACAGTGGTTAGAAGCCTTTCCTCCTCGACCCCCACCCCCTCGCTCTCATGTCCAGAGCGGAGCCATGTGGAGCAGCAGCAGCCTGCAGCAAACAGTCTGCCTCAGGTTTCTGCAGGTAAGCGCCTTCTAGCCAGATCCTGCCTCTGGCACCCCAGCCCCTCCCTTCCCCAACCCTCTGCCCCCTCCTGCACACAAGAAAAGCAGACCCGACCCTCCCGCCAGCCTCAGGAGCACGTGCCCTGTGGCCCTGCTGGGGAAGGGGGCCCTGGCCCCCCAGTACCTGGTACTCCTTGTCGGTGATGGTGAACATCAGTGTGAAGCTGCCCCCTTTGCAGAGGGGGCTGTTGTCCTCCCTCTGCTCCTGGCCCCACTTTTTCTCCACCAGGCTGTTGAGGAGGATGTGGGAAGAGCCCTGGAAGCAGTGGCTGAAGAGCAAGGCCACGTTGGCCTCCTTGTACTGACCACGGAGGAATTTCACCTGGAAGCTGGAGTGGAGACGGCACCGGCTGAGCCAGGGCTTGCGGCTGGGGGCCGCTTTAGGGGCCACACTCCCAGCCTGTGCCCAGTGGTGTGGGAATGTGTGGGGGGGGGGGGTGAAATCCAGCCCCTTGCCCCGTCCACCTTTTGCCCCAGCTGAAGCCAGGAGCAAAGTCCTAGCGTGCAGGGTTGAGAGCCGGGACCCTGAGCATGCAGCAGCAGCTGGGACCCTGGGCGTCGCAG